CCCCCCCTGCCACCACTCACCATCTCCTTCTGCCTTTCGGTCTCCGCTTGCTCCTCCAGATACAGCTCCTGGCGGATCTGTTCCAGCTCTTCACGCTGCTGTTGCTCCCTTTCCAGGTTCCGGGCAATCTGTTAGGAGAAGGAAAGGTTTCTTAACGGAAGGCAAGAATGCACCACCATTTTTCCTGCAGTTTCCGTTTCTGGTACCATGCTCTGAAGTCTCTGTTTTTTCTCCTCGGCGTCTCGCGCTCTGGCCAGCCAATCTTCCTCTCTTTGCCGCTGAACATGGGTGAACGCCGCAATTTTCCTATTTTCTTCTTCCATCTCCTCCTGTTGCCTTCTCCTCCAGACAGCCTGTTCTTTTTTAAATTCTTCAATACATGTCTGAGTTGCTCTCATTTTATCTAACTTCAGTTGTTTTTCCCTGGAGAAGATGAAAAAAGTGTTTAAATAGTTATTTAACCCACTGCAGAGTAACATTAAACACACAGCATGCCCCGCTATTCCCGAGACGAAGTTTTAAGCAACTCTCCTTACTCACTCAGCTAGAAAACAGGGGTCTGCACTGAAAATTGCCCCTGAAAAGGAATCTGACGTAGAACGCCCTGCTTCAGGAGGACAGGCAGCGCACGTTGGTACTAACCCCTACTCTGTTTTATACGCGCTCCACCGCGACGTAACGGAGATGAGAAGGAAGCCCGATAGCCCAACGGCACCGGCATCCCCTAAACTCCGTGTGCGTTGCTGTTCAAGTGGCCTGCACACAGTGCCACCCAGCCCTCAGAAACCTTCCTACCCCTGACCCTGGGACCGGCACTCAGCACCTCTCACAAAACGTCAGGGGCGAGGGCAGGCAGACGGCACGACGGCCCAGTGGGAGCACTCCCTGACACAAGCTGCCTTTCCTATCTGCTTCGGTTTAAATTAATAAAGAATCAAACCACAAAGTGACTAACATTTGGTCTTCCTCATAGATCTTTCGTACAATGTCATCAATCATGAGTTTCTCTCTCAGAAACTCTTCGTAAGCATCCTGCTTCCGCCTCTCCTGCTCCTCAAGCTGCTTCTCTAGCTCCTGCTGGTAGGCTATTTTCTCCTTGTTTCGCCTCAGTTCTGCAGAACTCTCTTCTTTCATTACCCTCTCGTACTCTTCCTTCATCTTTTGGGCTATTTCAGCCTCATGTTTCTGTAGGGGGAAAAAGCAATGCAAGGTGCCTTTTGACTCGCCCTCATACAACTTGGAGGGAAAAAAAACGCAGGATGGAAAAGAATTACACTGCATGACAACATCGGGATGTTTCCACCTCTGTCTATAAACACAGTGCCTTAACATGCTTAACGGCTTGATGCAGCCAGTGGAACCCTGGAGCAGAACCCTCCACGGCTAAACTTGAGGAGAACTAACAACATTGGAAGGAAGCGACGTACTGAACGGAGGAGACCAGGGGAAGCACGAGTGGAAAGAGCCCATGTGGGCGTAGTGAGTAGAATGTGGTTTAACTGTGCAGAACATCCTCAATGGATGCGTCGTCTTCACGGCGACTCGTGTAAGCTGAATGTCGTATGGCGCATCAGTGTCATCTGCCAGATCCCCAGTATTGTTCTTCACGCAAAGAGAAGTTCATGAGCCCTTCTGAAGTGACTCAGATGTATGTTCAGTAACAGCAACAACATTCTGCCAGGCTGGATGGGGCTTTGAGCAACCTGGTCTAGTGGAAGGTGTCCCTGCCCATGGCGGGGGGTGGGACTGGGTGGGCTTTAAGGTCCCCTCCCCAACCCAAACCATTCCATGTTTCTGCTGCTGACGGAAGGGTGCAGCACAGTAAGCGCTTACTCTACACAGTGCCTCATAGTTGTAACTTGGGTAAATATTAAAACCTACATCCCTTTATGCAGCTTAGTTCACTGCATCCGTGCTGCAATGGCACAGTAAGCCTCTCCCTTACGGCTGCTTGTTGCTGGCTAATTAGTCCTTCAGGACACAAAACATGTTCAATAAGCACCGGATACCTCGAGCTAACGATATTCCCAACCAACAGGTCAGCAGCAAAGGGAGAGTTTTCAGCATAACGCACACCAAGGTTACAGCACGGAAATGAATTACCATCATCTCACGCTGCATGGCTTCTCTTTCAGCGATCTGCGCAGCTCGCTCCTTAGTCACGTACGCCGACTGCAGCTGTCTTCTTAACTCCCGGAGCTCAAGGCTGGGAAATAAGAAAGAATTAACCTGTTACGGGGAAGCAGTACAAGGGAGACATGGAGAAAAAAAGAAGTTCCCATCAGTATTTAAACAGAAGTGAAGAGATTCAGGGGAAGCCCCAGTTTTAGAGGAAAGATATTGCTGTAGTAAGAACAGAGAAAGAAAACAAAATGTGTTGTAAACCAAGCGTTACCTGTACGCGCAGTTCGGCAAGCTTCACATCTAACGACAGGAATACACGTGTGCACCTACAGACCTGCATGCGCAGATCCGTGTAGGGGGACATCCGTACCCAGCAGCACATATGCAAACCTAAAAGGTTGTGGACTGGAGCATTTTAGTGCAGGATTACCTGTTCTCCCTCACTTGCTGCCTCA